TTAGCTCAGTAACCAGAACACTTTGTATTAGACTAGTGTAGTATCCTTGTATGTTTCTTATGTATGTATGCCTAAGTCAAGTAGTGTGCTTTTGTCTCCACTTTTCTATATACGTTTGTTATGTGTCTGTTATATCTTGACATGTACCTAGCCCGTCGTGCCATGAATGTACAATAAAGGTATTTCATTTCATTTTATTAAAAATCGACCGCGTCTTGTCAAGGTATGTTGTCCACAAACAGACCCCCCCCAAAAAAAAAAAAACTCTTTACAGCAACGTAAAATCTATATATTACACACCTACCAAATATCATTAAGATCCATTCGCAGATTTTCGACTTAGGCTGCATACATACAATCGACAAGTCCATAAAAATCCCGCTGCATGAGTACGCGCATTGATTTTTGCCTGTTCTCAAACAAACAAAAAAAAGATCACGTCCTCCGAGGCTCTAGGCCAGGGTAGTCCATGGTAGTTAGCGACAATACGACGCCGGATGGTAATCAGACCACCGAAGCTACACGACTCAAGAACTCTGTACATACGTACAGTGCCGATTCATAAAGTTCGCAAAAAGGCAGCATGTGCCGTTTAAGTCGCTTTGTACTGCTGCAAATTCACATTTATATATACGTGTGGTTTTGTAGTATTTTTATTTTTTATTCACCCTCGCGCACTAGTTTGGGGGTCTTCAGATAATGACACAAAAGAACTCAGGATATGTCAGTTACACAGAAGTGGTCAGACTTCAAAGACAAAATGAAAGACACGATGAACAAGCACATCCCAAGTAAGATAACATCAAGCAGATACAACTTGCCTTGGTTCAACAGAAACCTAAGGAGGCACTGTCGTAAGAAGCAGCGGCTCTATAACAAAGCTAAGAAAACAGGCCAAGAGGAAGACTGGAACAAATATAAGAGAGTTAAGAAGGGAGTTCAGAAAAGCATAAGACAAGCACACTCTAAATACGTGGCAGACATACTGGGAGAAGCTATAGTTGACAAACCCAAAACATTCTGGTCGTACATAAAAGGACTGAGGAAAGACCTTGTCGGGGTAGCACCCCTAAAGGTGAGAAATACCATCATCAGTGACAGCGGGAAAAAAGCAGAAGTACTCAGTTCACAGTTCAAAAGTGTTTTCACAGAGGAAGACACCACAGATATGCCATCTCTAGGTCAGCCCTGTACTCCTCCAATGGAACATATAGTAGTTTCTACTGATGGTGTCGAAAAAATGCTTCAAGGTCTCAATCCCTCTAAAGCATCCGGACCAGACCAAATACCACCGTGGTTCCTCAAGTTGACAGCTAGTGAAACCGCGCCTGTTCTAACCAATATTTTCCAACACTCGCTAAACACTGCAGAAATCCCTAAAGATTGGAGGGATGCAAATATATGCGCCATCTTTAAAAAAGGAGATAGAGCGGTCCCCAGCAACTACAGACCTGTTTCACTGACCTGCATATCCTGCAAACTACTTGAACATATCATCCATAGCCAAATCATGAAGCACCTAGAAAGTTACAGTATATTAACGGATTACCAGCATGGATTCACAGCCAAACGATCCACAGAAACACAGCTTATACTAACAGTCCATGACATAGCTGGCGCACTAAACAGTAAACGGCAGGTAGATTTAGCAATACTTGATTTCACTAAAGCCTTTGATAAAGTCCCCCATGGCAGGCTCATCTCAAAACTGGAGTATTATGGAATCCAAGGCCCTACGCTGAATTGGTTAAAGGCTTTCCTGACCAACAGGGAGCAAACAGTAGTGGTTGAAGGGAAGGCGTCGGCTCCAGTTAAAGTAGCGTCTGGGGTCCCTCAAGGAACCGTCCTGGGGCCATTGCTCTTTCTCTTGTATATAAATGACCTACCAGATCAGCTTGACTCAAATGTGAGGTTATTTGCCGATGACTGTCTATTGTATGTAGAGCTTTCTACACAGACCGACTCACAACTTCTCCAAAAAGACCTGAACACCCTGGAAGAATGGCAAAGCAAATGGCTCATGCAGTTTAATCCCGAAAAATGCTACATTATGCACATAACAAACAAACGAACACCACATGCAACTAGCTACCAGTTTTGTGGTCAGGCTTTAGCAACCACAAAAATCCATCCGTATCTGGGCGTCACGCTGACAAGCGGACTGAAGTGGGGTGCACATGTTAACCCTCAACAGTACACCTTCCCGGACTGATTAATCTGTACACCTGGGGTCCGCGCGGACCCCAGAACAGTTTTTTGCTAATTTTTAGAAATTATCAACATGCTACCAGCTCAATTGTTTTGCAAACTGATGTGGGAACCTCTGTGTCAACATTACATACAAAAATCATACATTTTGAACTTTTTCTATTTTTTTGTGAAGAAAAGAAGACAAGAAGAAATACCCGATTTTTAAAGGCACTCTATGTAGTTTTTTGACAATACAAAAAGTATATTTTTCATTCTTTTCTTTACATAGTACATTGACTTAACCCTTTAGTATTCCAAAATCATACTCCTCAACAAAAAATACAACATCCTTGCTCCTTAGAAGCTTATTAGAAAACTGTGAATGATCTTCTATACAACCTCTGGCCAAACCGCACATATGGTACATTGTATTGTCCACTGCTAGTGGTTTGACCTACATCCCAGTGGGGTGTCAGTTGATAGCTTACCAGTTTCTGAAATACCTAACCGTTTACCAGATTTTTTATCTCTTTTGAAGGGATAATGACCACAGTTTTTTCATGCCCAACAAAATACTCCAAGTTGATAATTATATTCCACCAGACCTCATGTGAAAGATATGAGTGTTTTTCTAAGGAGGCTATATCTTGTCACATGTGCCCCTGTCAATCAAGCCTGGCAAGCCGGGTCAATTAGCCACCCTAGGGGGCAACCCCTGTATGTTGTTGTTGTTGTTGTTGTCGTGAGCAAACCGGTGGCACCGGGTACCCAAGAAGGACTGTTTGAACGGACAAAATATACGTAAGAAATGTGAAATAATGACACAAATGTGTTGAAAAGTGATAGTAACTGTTAATAACACTGAAATTTAGTATAATTAGAATATTCCAAATTTTTGCGCAAAAAACTACATAGAGTGCCTTTAAACCCATTTCAGACTGAAGGGGCTTTTGAGGCCCAACTTTGATCTCAGATAGCGGCTAAACGGCTTGCACTAGAAGTATCAAATTTGGAGACCTTTCCTAAAATGTCTCTGGAAAAAAGTTCATATTAGTTGAATACTAGTAAGTTGATGTTTTTTTGTGTTGCCATGGCAACGGGCTATTTTTTTGAAAATAGAAGTAATTTTGGTTTAAACATAAAAATTTTCTGAGTTTTATATTAAATTACACTTCTTTTCCAACATTAATAACATCTTACATAATCAAATATAAGTTAAATCATTTAATATGCATAGAATATGCTAATTTGATGACGTCATTGGTCAAAATCCAATATGGCGGACTATATTATTAGCTCTGACGTCATATAACGTCATAATTACACCAAAGTTACTAAAATTTAATTCTATTACTACACCATTCTCTGAAAACTTGGTAGACATATGATGAGTGCATAAAAACATATAAAAACGGAAATAAGGTAATGTATAAGAACGCCAGTGTATCCATTATGATCGAAAGCCGGCTGGGGTCCGCGCGGACCCCAAAAGAAAATCAGATATAATTTTTTTATAAATGGTAGAAACGGAGTTTTCTGCACTGTATTGAGAGACAACTTTGTGGGTAACAATTACCTAAAATTTCAGAAAAAAATCTTTAGAAACAAAAAGATATTACAGAATATATAGTGCTGGGGTCCGCGCGGACCCCAGGTGTACTGTTTAGGGTTAATAATATCACAACTAAGGCGAAACAGACATTGGGAGTGATTAAACGTAATCTGTGGGCATGTCCAACGAGAGTAAAATCACTTGCATGCACGTCACTTGTAAGACCGAACCTAGAATACGCTGCGACAGTATGGGATCCATATACAAAGAAAGACAAAGACAAATTGGAAAGGGTACAGAATCAAGCTGCAAGATTCTGTTTGAACAACTATGTAAGAGGTGCTAGTGTCACGGAAATGAAAAGAAACCTACAGTGGACCTCACTTGAAGACAGAAGAAAGATGTCTAGACTATGCATGATGTACAAAATGACTAATAAACTGGTGGATGTCCCAACTACTAAGTACCTAATACCAGCCCAGAAGAGAACAAGAAATAGCCACGCATTCAAGTACCAGAGTTATCAACCAAGGATTGAGGTGTTCAAGAATTCATTCTTTCCTAGAACTATCGCAGAGTGGAACTCACTGTCACCAAGTACAGTAGGGGCACTGTCAATAGATAGCTTTAAACAATGTCTAGAGCTAGAAGTTCAAGGGTTAGGTGTAACAAGTCGATCGGTGTAATATAGCCAGCTGCCGCCGCGCCGCGTGCCTGCGAAGCTGGTGTGTTACGCCGAAAGGCGGTTATACCGGCTATACAGATACAGATACAGATACAGACACACATAAAATTAAGTCGGTGTGGCTAATAAGCTTATGGATGACATCCTCTGAAGACCCCTAAACTAGTGTGCGCGGGCGAATAAAAAAATCCGGCCAAAAATAATTTAAAATGCTAGTAAACCACAAGAATACAAAGCTGTTATTGTGAATTTGCGGCAGTACTTAGCGACGTATACGACAAGCCGGCACATGCTGGCTTTTTGCGGAAGTTATGAATCGGCACTGCACGTATGTACTGAGTTCTTGAGTCCGTAGTGTCGCTAACTACCATGCCTAGAGCCAGGCCAGAACCTCGGTGGACGTGATCTTTTTTTTTTGAGAACAGGTGAAAATCAATGCACGCGCGGAAGTCATCCATAAAATTAAGTCGGTGTGGCCTAATGGGGAATAAAAATGGCTCGCTACGCCGCACAAAAAACCGCATACAGACCCTCTACTACGACAAACTCCTCAGCTCCTTGGTGACAAACAAAATGGCGGCGACGCCCTGGGTACTGCTTCTGTTCGCCCTCGCCTGGCGGTCTGAAGCGGTCTTCACCAGTCCGCACCAGATCAAACTACAAAACAACGAGTACTCGGACGTGCTGGTCGCCATTCACAGGGACATACCGGAGGACTTACGGATCGTGGATAGACTGAAGGTTAGCGAAAAAGTTTTTGAAGTAAACATTAAACTTTTAATTAGCTCCAACGCTAGAGAATAAATTGTTCCCAAATCATTCTAGTGTTTAGTTTGAACTTAAAATGGCTTGTGCCGATGGATTTTTATGCTGACAAAGTTTGTAGTTCATAAGCTTTCTTCTTTTGAGGATACACTTCAGGTACTTTAGAATACTGGCTATAATCCAAGTATAATTCAAGCTTAGGCTCAATATATGTCAAACAAATCCATTTGAATAGAGAAAAACCATTAAGGTCAGAATTGAGTTAAAGCCCTGGTTGCATACCAAATGCCTTGCATTTTTTGGGCGACGATAGTATCTTAGAAGAAATGGATTCAAAAGAAGTAGTTCATGAAGTTATGACTGTGACTAAAAGTTTATTATAATTTGAATGATTTTGTGTTGAGTGTTGAAAGTGTTAGTTGTGAACATGTTATAATATAATTGTCAATCAGATCTTTTGGTGGCGTCAAGGGAATATCAGGTTTGCAAGGCTGTATCAAATGCTTTCAAAGCATCAAAGAAAGCCGTATTACGTCTAAAGTATGTCAAAACCTAATCTTCTGTTTGTAAAGCGACGGTCACAACCCGCCGTACGTGCTTCTGCGTGCTGTCTACATGTACGTGCAAAAACGTGGGCAAACGTAGGGCATCCGTGCGTGGTGAGTACCGCCTCCGTACGGAATCTTACGGATTTGGGAGCACGCAGACACGCCGTAGGACTTTAAGTGCATGTAAAACTTTTTCTACGTGCGGTCTACGGATTCACCACCCGTGCGTGCGAATACGAGCGACGTGCGTGCCCCGTACGTGCTGTGCGGAAGAGGCACGTGTGAGTACGGCCTCCTTACGGATTCTTACGGTAAATTTGCAATCGCACAGAGATCGTACGTTGTAAGCACGTACAACTCACTTACCACTTGCGCAACGTACAATGCACGCAACCGCTCACGGCCAGACGTAACGTGCAGACCACACTCTTACACCTTGCGCAACCGTGCGATTGACGTGCGAGTGACGTGCGTCGACGCCACTCCTTCCCTACGTTTTCAGAAAAAAACGTAGCAGACGTAGCCTCCCAAAAAACGTACGGACAAAAAGCACGTACGGCGGGTTGTGACCGTCGCTTTAAAGTAGCCGTGTACTAACTACGGATAAAGGTTAGTTTGCTAGCAGTTCGTTAGTGGGGCATCTAACTGATAACTGCATCAGATCATTTTCCCATTTATTACACGCGATCGATACCAGCAATCTCTCACCTGTAATCTTTTTCTCATTTATAAATCAGACTTTGTGTTGTTTCGTGGTGACCAGGGATTTGGCTCTCTGTCAGCATGCACGCTACGCACACATACCTGATCCGTTAGCTTAGCTCTGTTTGCAAATTAATTTTATCAGCTTGGGCCAGAAGTGAATAAAACGGTATTTTACTTAAATATTTCTTGTGTCGTGGTTAAAAAGAAGTAAGCGACCTCTGATGCTGTACATAATGGACAATGAAGAAAGGGTACATGTGCCGTTTGCAAATTACATGTAATTTTATCAGCCTGGCATTTTACTTAAATCTTTCTGACGCCATGGTTGTTAAGCAAACGCTTTTAGTTATTTGATGTTGTATGTAAGGTATAATAAAAAAAGGGTACGTAATTTACAGTTTGGTGGCAGCTAATTTTATTCCACTTAACGACCTGTAACAAACAACCTAACCTTTGTACTTCTAGCTGCAAGGGTTGTTCAAAACTACCTAGTGATGATGCAACTAATACAATAGTTCTATATATCATTGGTGCCAGGGTCAGCGCACAGGCTAGCTCCTCGGTTTTAGAGTCAATATCTTACAATAGACACCCCTAACTTTTTATTACCTCCGGGGAAGAAGACATCGTTCCGCGGAAATTTTAGATTTAGATTTTCATGTTTGCAGCTCTTTCTCGAGTTTGAGTGGACGGATTCTTTTGAGACTCGGTATATGTTTTGCTATTGGGCTTCAGATAATGCACGTTCTTTTGTTTTTATTGTATATGTGTTTTCGGGTGTGAAGATGGTGCCCTTTGATGGCCCCAGAACACCCCTTTGAGCGTGAAAGTGGTCGCGACCGTTGACCTTTGGCGTGTATTAGGTATTGTCGGTCTCGTCCACGAAGGTGACCCCTCGCACAGAGGGGTGTCCGGTCTCGATAAATTCTTTGTTTCAAACCCTAGTCCTGCGGCGCGCAACAATTGTTGTTGTAAAAAAAAAACATATAAAAATATACAATAAAAAGCCCGGAGGTATAAAATCTCAGATTTTACTTGTTAGGTTTGGTCTGTGTACTCGTACTAGCTCAGCACTAGTGTTATTTTGGTGTGTGTATCTTGGTTTCCATGTGTGTCTGTGTTTCCGCATTTTAATGTATATTGTTGAGTTCAGTCTGTTTTAGAGGGAGCAGGTCATTAACCAAGTCTTTATCTGGTATACCGGTAGTGCTTGCTATTGTTACATTATGTTTTTACTGTTACATGACCTCCTTAGCAGCTATCTATATATTAAATGATGGTCTGAGATATCCAAATCCTTGTTTATTCATTCGTTTTGACTGAAAATACAGCCAAGACTGACCAACTATCACCAGACTATTTCTAAGAATCGCCTTTAATTTTCTTTCTTAGGAAATCCTGACCAAAGCGTCTGAAGACCTGTACATCGCCACCAACAGCCGCGCGTTCTTAAAGGAGGTGAAGATCCTCATCCCGAAGACGTGGTCCAAGAAACCAGAGTATCAGCCGGCAGGGACGGAAACGTTTGAACGGGCTAACGTCAGGTGAACGTAATTCGTTTTTAATATGTTCTAATATTTAATGACTAGTACATGGTGACGGCACACTCAAGTTATATCAACTTATTTCATGTCGCCACTAACGCAGAGGACAAATACAAGGCAGAATTCGAACAATAGTCATTTTTACTTGAGTTAAGTGAGGAAGACGTGTAAAGTGTGTTTCCCAAGGGCACAAGATCGGTGGCGTGTCAAGACTCGAACCCGGGACCTCTTGGTTCCGAGTCAATCACTCTGCAGTTACATAAACGCCACACGTCCCCACAGGTGAACTTAATTGTTTCTTTTATGGCAACTGATTTTATGACAGTATTTAATTATGTCAATAAATATGTCAATTTGTGGGTGCGACAAATTTCTAATGCCGGGACAATCCAATGCTTTACAGAGTGGATGTGCCGAATGCTTTATACGGGGACAATCCGTACGTGCAGCAGAAGGGAGGATGTGGCGAGGCGGGAGACTACATGCACCTGACTCCTAAATACGTGCTGGACAAGCAATATGGAGAGGCATACTGGGGACCTAATGGTCAGAAATATCTGAATCTGTTGAATTGTTTTTTTTTAATTAAACAGTAGGCAAACGGATGAAGGAATGAATGAATGAATAAATGAATGAATGAGTGAGTGAGTGAATGAATGAATGAATGAATGAATGAATGAATGAATGAAGCAATAATATTGTATGTTTACGCTCTACCAAGACAGGTATATTTGCTACTATTTGCGGAGAGAATGTAGGAATCGAGAGCTATAATAGGGATAAAACAGATTAAATTAGAATTACAGCGATATTTTACTATTAAACTATATACAAACTAATGTAAACTGCTATTTAGTTCGTTCTTTTTTTTTGCAATATAATACAAGTAATCGTGCAGGTAATAATGAATGATGAATAAAATATTAAAAAAGAATAAAATATCCACAACAAGACTACGATATGTACAGGTAGTTTTAAGTATCCGATACCTAAAATGAATGTAAAAAGTGCAAGTAAGGAATCACAAAAGATAAAGTAAAAAAGGAGACGTAACTAAACAAAGTTAATTTGCCTATAAAGAAGTTCTAAAGCACTCACAACAACCAAATACAGTAGTGCACTATTAGATTAGGGGAAAATGATGATTCTGACTTAGTCTGAAGTCACCCACTTTACCTTACTTAACCTGACTGTTATTCTTTTAGGTAAGACGTTTGTGCACGAGTGGGCCCACCTCCGCTGGGGACTGTTCGACGAGTACGGCCAGGACGATCCTGCAGGACAATCCTACCCGCACTTCTACAGCGGATCGCTAGGAGGCGTCCAACCCACCAGGTAAGGGGCAGTGTCTAGTGGTGACTCGAACATGTATTTAGAGGCACCACCAATGAATAGCTAAAGATATCAGCTTATACAGGATGTATAGTAGTACGTAGATGATTCAACTTGCTATATGTAAAGAATGACGGGAAATCTGACTTCGAAAATCCAATAATTTTGCCGTAGTCCCTATCTTTGAAAATCTTTTTTATCTTGGAAATTTGGTCCAGTTTGCTGAATTTTGGACTGGAAGTAACAGGTGGGGTCTAAACTTTCTTTCTTTGAACAATTGTTTTATTTTTTTATTTCACCATTCTTTAGGCATATTTGCCTGCCCATCACGAAAATCTAGGTCAAAAGGAGGGCTTGTTTACTAGTAGTCACCTATTTTCTCTCTATATTTGGGACGCAGACCCTTGTGGCTTTCTGGTGCAGAAGAAATGTTGAGAAATGCGGAAGAGCATTTTATAAGGACTTGTTTCAGTTTATTTAAACATAGGTTCCTATCGCCGAACGTAACAATATTGTCTGCCCTACCAGGTGCTCCGCCTGGGTGGCGGGGACGAACAAGCACATGGTGACCGGAGCGCCGTGTCAGCTGGACCCGGTAACCGGAGTGTACGGGCCGGAGTGCCGCTTTTACCCCGACGAGCAAACCAACCGAGCAACCGGATCGTACATGTTTATGCACTTCCTCAACCAAGTAAGTATTTAGCTTTTTCAGAAGGTTATGTTTTCCTTTGGGCTGGGGATGTAGATAGTAAGCCTCCTGGAGGAGCAACAGATGTTTAAAGGATTTCTGGTAGACAAGTTATTTTTGGGTAGACACAGGTCAAGTTCTAAAATTGGTTTTTAGGGAAAGGAGGGTCCTACGTTACTGTAGTGAACCTTTTTCGTTGTTTGACTTGTTTGTGAACAGAAATATTCGGGACCCTCGCTCAAGATGCCCGAGATTTCTTTCACTTATCTTGTGTTTTATACTTAGGTGACAGGTTTCTGTAAAAGCGATCCATTCAAAAACCCTGTGTGTCTTTGTCTGAGTGCGTACATGTCTATACTGCAGTTTGAGTATATTCTGCCAGATGGCATTTAAATCATGTGTCACAGCGACCCGACAGGAGACCCTTGGTCCTACCACAACCGTGAGGCGCCCAACAAACACAACTCCCTGTGCGTCTTTGAGTGCGTGTATTTCTATACTGCAGTTTGGGTATACTCTGCCAGATGGCATTTCAATCATTTGTTTTGATTGCAGGTGACAAGTTTCTGTCACAGTGACCCGACAGGAGATCCTCTATCCTACCACAGCCGTGAGGCGCCCAACAAGCACAACTCCCTGCGTGTCTTTGAGTGCGTGTTTTTCTATACTGCAGTTTGAGTATATTCTGCCAGATGGCACTTCAATCATGTGTTTTGCTTGTAGGTGACAAGTTTCTGTCACAGTGACCCGTCAGGAGACCCTCTATCCTACCACAACCGTGAGGCGCCCAACAAGCACAACTCCCTATGCGGCGGGCAGAGCGCCTGGGGCGTCATGGACCGGCATCCCGACTTCGCCAACGGCGCTAACCCCCCTCGTGAGGTCCAATCAACCGTACCGGACTTCGTCCTGCTGCAGGAAAACGACTATCGGATCGTCCTCGTGCTAGACGCGTCGAATAGTATGAGGGTAAGTAATGGCTCTTGGTTAGTCGAGCGAAAGATTTACGACAAAACAGTTAAGGTAGCAGAACACAGTTTTCGCCCCATGGGAATTTCTATAGTTAAGGACCCCAAGATGACTCACTTCGACGCGGTAAAAATTATATTAGGGTGCACTTCACAAATACACAAATCGAATATGTTTGAGAAGAAGGTACAAACTACAAAATATCTAGAAACCAAAAAATCCTGTCTGCGTATCTGCTCGTAACGTACACTTTGAAATCGCCCTCTACGGACGTGACCTGAACTGCAGCCGACTCACCCGGAAAGCCAGTTGCGTAATACGGATGATGTATACACGAACTGCAAATCCTTCACAATTCAAATCATACAGTCTCAAACCCGATACATTCCTACACCACACAGCACAATTTACATCTGGCTGACGCTCTTATCAGGCTTTCTACCCAGCCTTCAAGAATATTCGCTGTACTACTTTCTATGCTCGCGTCACAGACCCCCGGGGTCGCCCATTAATACTGTGTGCTGCTACCTTGATACGGGAGATTCTTGAACAGTCGTGAAAGCGTGGTACAGAAATAGGTTAGGCCATGTTTATCTTATTATTATGGATGACATCCGCGCGCGAAAGAATTTTCGGCCATTTCCAAAATAAAAAATAAAAAATTCAACCATGCTGCAAATTATACAAAACAGTTGCAAAATTAGCAAATATATACCGTAAGTTGCACACAGAAAATATTGGAAAATAATATGTAAAGAAATTAATTTGAAGAGTAGATTATTCGGCCTTATCATGTAACGGTAAAATCGATACGTACATTGCCCTGGCTCAACCTCATAGTCTATACGTGGTGACCATGTGTCGGGGTAGAGATATTTTACCGGCCCAATTACTATTAAACACAGGCCTATCATTCTGACAGGCTATCTTTCTATGTAATAAAGGGAGAAAAGTATTGTAAGTCTGTCCAACCCCGTAAAATTTCAGCGATGTGCACTGATGGGCCTAGGCGGGAGGGTAACAATCTCAGCACCGTGGAGACACCGGTGAGCCCCCGTTGGTCTGGTTATCACCTACCCTGGAAGCCAGAACTCGTTTTCCAGGCCGCAAGAGCACTTCGTCTGCTGGTGTAAATTACCGCTACGGGGGAGTCTAGCCCGGGGGGAGTTTGGCTGGCCTACAAGTACAAACCCCTCGGGCTCAACTCCCCCGTAGCGGTAATTTAGGCAGGCGGGCGAAGGGCTCTTGGCTGCCGAAGGAAAACGGCTAACGGCCCGATACTAGTTGGCATCGAGGGTAGTTATCACCAGCCTACTTTAAATACTGTACGGTGTTCTGCAGGGTGAACCGCTCCGCCGACTGGGGCAAGTGGCGACGAGGTTTATCCGTAGTACAGTGGGATTTGGCGCCTCGGTGGGCCTGGTCAAATTTGCCCGCCATGCTTCAATAGACCACCCGGTCATCAGGTAAGGGTCCTGCCTCCGCTTTTTATTAGATCATCTAATAATTACTCTCCAAACAGAGATGTAGGCTTTGCCTTTTTTGACCATTCCAGTTAGTATCTCCATGGATCCACTCTTTGCACATATTGCTGCTAGGTAGGTGTGTCTTCTTAGGCTTTTCTTATATTATGACTGTATTATAGTACTGTACATTGCATAACCAGTTATAATATGTTAGGCCATGTTGATTTGATTATATGGATGACATCCTACGGGAGCCCCAAAACTGATGCGCGCGTGCGAATAAAAAAAAGTTTTGCAAAAAAAAAGTTCTTTTCATTATGAAATCTACGTGGTCATGAGGGTTGAGCAAATGGCACAGAATATGGTTTGGCGAATAATCTAGTCTTCAAGTTCATTTCTTTACAATTTCGTCTTTTTTCGTTTGATTTTGACATTCTACGACATTGGTATAGTTTTTATTAATTTTTTTTTGTGACTTATGGTATATTTTTGCTCATTTTGCAACTGTTTTGTACGATTTACAGTATGGTTGAAAACTTTTTTTTGTAAACGGCCGAAAAATTCATGCGCGCGTGGATGTCATCCATATAATCAAATCAACATGGCCTTATCTTTATTCCAGGTCTTGTACTTATAGTAGAATTTCTTTATTTCATGTTTGTCTCAATGTCCTATTTGTGGGCTATCTAATACCAGTTACCACTGCCTTGATAACCTGTGTATTGATTTGTTATCATTGCCAATAAAGAAGAAAGAAAGAACAAAGGACTTATTTCCGATGCCTTTTTAGAGGTTTTAAGGGGCTTTTTTTCGGAAGACGAATTTGATACTGCCTTACCAATCTGGAAAATGGAGATTAAACAGTAACCCTGGTATCACGACCACACTGGTATCACGACCGTCGTACTATCGCAAACTGAAGGTACTTTAGGTATAATATGTCGTACAACATTTAGCTGTCTTCTTACGGATAAAAGTTTGTCGTATCCTTGTAGGCGGTTTGCCATGTTCCAACCTGCTTGGAATTTCTGCTGTACGTATGAATGGCTCGTACGAATGGCTTACTAGATCTTGAAAACATTCTTGAAACAGTCGTGGGTATGTCGTAGAAAAATTAGTTGTTTCACGGTAAAACGTTGAACTTTATTCCAATACACAATTGTACAGGGAACAAATTTTCAGCGACCACTGTCGCCTTCATCAGGTCACGTGTCTGTAACCGTAACTCTCGCGAGATCACGTTGTAGAAATAATTGGTCATTAATTATCCTGATGAAGGCGACAGTGGTCGCTGAAAATTTGATCCCTGTACAAAGTTCAGCATTTTACTATCATGATTACTACCAACACAAATGAACTTTCATTGAGTTCACGATGTAGATTGTCGTCGATCAATGTCGACGTCAGTTCGGCCATAGCCAAGCTGAGAGTCATGTGACCTGCGGCTGCAACTACGCACGGTAACATTTCAAGTTTTTTTGGCGACGCCTCGGGTACGGATGCAATTACATTGTATTTAAAACTGTGCCTTACAGTGTTGATTCCCAGGCCGACCGTGATGCTCTGATTGCCACAATCCCCACAACAACTGTTCTCTATACGTGTATCGGCTGTGGCCTCCTGAAAGGAGTGGAGGTACGTGTATAAAAAAATGATCCGTCGGCCGCTTTTCAATCAAGCTTAAGCATTATTCTAAAATAGAAATGTATGAAGTCGTCTATTCACGACGATATTATAACGCATGCACTATAATCGTTCGTAGCGAAGGGAAGATGACAGACTCGAGACGGGATTCGACCGGTTTCGACTTTAATTCAGTCTTTATCAAGAATGTCTATTCACGACGATATTATAACGCATGCACTACAATCGATTTTAATGTGTTGTTTGTTCTAAATGTATGGTAGATTGTTTTTGTTGTTTAACTGTTCATCCTTCATCTACCATTTATTCCTTCGCTTATCACTCAGGCTCTCAAAGCTATTGATCCTCCAGAGGGACGTCGTTTTACTTCTGTCGTTCATTTATTCATTTATTCACTCCCTCCCTCACTCAGTCAATAAATTTATTCATTCTCCTCTTATTAGTAATTTATATCTCAGGCTCTTGAGGCTGCTGGTCTTGCAGAAGGTTTTCTTCTACTATCATTCATTCGTTCATTCATTCATCCATTTATTCACGTACTCAATAACCCGTTCATTTATTAATTTGCTTACCAATTACGCTCTCATAGCCGTTGGTCCTCTAGCTATCTAGAAGCAGGTGTTCTACCACTATCATTTACTCATTCATTCATTCATTCATTCATTCTCTATCTCTTAGGCTCTAGAAGCTGTCGGTCCTCCAGAAGGCGGGGTTTTACTCCTGGTGACTGACGGGAGGGAAACCACGGCCCCCAGAATCCGTGACGTCATCCCAGAACTTCTTAGAAAGAGAGTCATCGTAGCCACGGTACTGTATGACATGGATCTCTAGCTACAATTCCTGATTATAATTTTTGGTCCTTATTTAATACTTTAATTATACCAAATACTCCAAAACAGTTACTCAAGCAACTGGATATGATTTTGAAGTTGCTTGAGTAACTGCTTTTTGGCGTATCGTATTACCTGGATGTCTAACCTTCATCGACGCATACCAAATACTATGTACCTTTTACTCCAAATAAAAAGCACACTGCATTCCCACATATATTTATAATAGTTATCATGGAAGTTCATATCAATCATCGTATCGATTGTAAACTTTATTGCAACACAAAGAGTACACAAGGAGAATTTTCAACGAAAACTGTCGCTTTTATTACAATAATCACATCCAAATCTTTGTAGTATTTCCATTAAGTAGTGTAACAACTTAAGACCAACTATAATTTCAGACATATTTACCTATTACAGCGCAGATTGTTAGAAATGACAAATGTAAGTTAATGTAAAACATTGCATTTGCCACCTACTGTTGTAGTATCTGGGCTTTCTAACCTGTATGGCCAATTAAAAGGACTGTCGACACTAAAGCGACGGTCACAACCCGCCGTACGTGCTTCTGCGTGCTGTCTACGTGCAAAAACGTGGGCAAACGTAGGGCATCCGTGCGTGGTGAGTACCACCTCCGTACGGAATCCTACGGATTTGGGAGCACGCAGACACGCCGTAGAACTTTAAGTGTATGTAAAACTTTTTCTACGTGCGGTCTGCGGATTCACCACCCGTGCGTGCGAGTACGAGCGACGTGCGTGCCCCGTACGTGTCTTACGGAAGAAGCACGTGTGAGTACGGCTTCCTTACGGTAAAGTTGCAATCGCACGGAGATCGTACGTTGTAAGCACGTACAACTCACTTACCACTTGCGCAACGTACGATGCACGCAACCGCTCATGGCCAGACTTGGCGTGCAGACCACACTCTTACACTTTGTGCAACCGTGCGAGTGACGTGCGAGTGACGTGCGTAGACGCCACTCCTTCCCCACGTTTTGAGAAAAAACGTAGCAGACGTGGCCTCCCCAAAAACGTACGGAGAAAAAGCACGTACGGCGGGTTGTGACCGTCGCTTAAGACGGGCACAGCCTTCAACGCCATACGGTGTTTGTGTTAAGGGTTCTACCTTGTCGTTTGCAAGTTTAAGATCATTCCAACCAAATTCATGTTAATAACTGCCCTGATGAAGATGACAAACAGTTATCGAAAGTCACCGAAACTTAAGCAATTGGTAAACAAGTGGATGTGAATAAAGAACTTCGCTGTTCAATTATTCGCCTACGACGAAATCAATCACAGATCAACCGTTTTTAATTTCAGGTTGCCTACAGTCAAAACGCGGACGCCACCCTGGAGAGCCTGGCCCAGCAGACAGGCGGCCCGTCGTTCTACGCTGCACGGCGAGACTCCGCGGCTCTGGATAACGCCTTCACCGCCACGTTTGAAGCCACAGCCGGCGGAAAGGGGGTCAAGGTAAATCATTAATGAAGACAGTAATAAAATCTAAGATGGTGTACTTAGTAGAATATTCTTCAATCGGTGACTGTTTTTGTAAGGTACAATCACGTACCTTCAAATTTTCGGTGTCGACTGTACATCTTCATCACGAAGTGACGTAGTCTCGCGAGATCACGAGACTAGGCCGAGACTTCTGTGGACCTTCTTGCCTCCCCAACGCCAAAACCTGGACATTAGATGCTGCCCTTTCAGAGACCCTCAAACATTTCCTTTATCGTGTACCTTCAAGCACTAGCGGTGCAATGGTTTTCCAACACAAAGATTTCCCAATAGTCTTCTAAGCGATATCAGTAGACATTATTGCTCAGTTTATGTCACTTTTCAGAAGTGGTAAAAAAGTTTAATCAATTTCCCACAATGTTGTATAACAACGTGAACACACGTTACGAGATTTAATAACATTTAAACCCGTTTTGACTTGATTGATTAGCTTCGTTTTACATATATAGTATTTGATGAAAGCAAAACATTACTTTAACATAATCCCACAGCTGTTAAATGAAGAGAGGACTATCGCAGGTGGTCAGACCTACACCAACCACGTGCATGTGGACAGCAGCGTGGGACAGAACACCACGTTCTCATTCTATTGGCTGGGCGGCAGTCGTCCCACGGTTACCATGGAAACACCTGTCGGACACGTGATCACTGAAGGAAGCCCGATGTATGACGTCACGAGCGACACGATTACAGTTGAGATTCCTGGCATGGCACCGGTATTTGTTTATCACTTGCCTATGCCTATATATTATCATGAAAGTTCATCTGTGTTGGTAGATTACATGTTTAAAATTAAAACTTTTGTTCCAACACAAAATATTCTCTCACCTAGAGCTTTCGACCAGTGACTCTGGTCTTCCTCAGTAGACTGACCCAGTGAAGCTTGTCACGTGACTTCTTTCAAGTGTGACATCAACACGGGATCAAAGGTGTCTCGTAGACGATGTCGGCCCCCGTCGCGGTTCAATGTAGGGTGATGGGCCCTGAAGTATATGGCTTCCTTCACCCCTCTCTTGTTTAGTGTCTAAAATCCTTACAGTGCCTATATATGGTGTTTGCAGTCATGTGACTGTGTTTTCGACGCCATGTTGGATAATTAAAGTTTGTAGAGTCATGCGCATGTATTCTAATGTGTATAATATACGGTTCCCACTACTTCTTGCTGCAATGTAGTAGTTATAATGTTGAAAAGAATAAGAAAGTTTATTGCAACTACTTGCCCGAGGGCTAATTGCAGTTACAAACAAGATAAGAAAGAAAATACAATGGTATGTGAGACTATATTTACGTCTAGCATTATACTATATTCTACAACATACATGGTACTAGTTTTAATGGGTTTGACTTCTTCTTTATAAATAAGTATGTTTATGTTAGGAGGGGGTGGCATCTAGACTTAGTCGTAGATGTCAATTCACATTTTTCAACGTTACATGCAGTGTAAATAATGGTGTTAATATCTGTACGTTTCTGCAAATTGCGCAAGCCACGGCATTATCTGTATCCTTTTTATGTGTTATAAAGTCGACAAAGATAACAAATTTATTCATGATTCATCGAATGAATACATGCTGCCTTTTGCATCAACCTTCAGCCGGGAAAATGGGCGTACAACATCAGCAACCCAGGTCCTGATGACCATGATGTCATCACCATCATCACCTCCTACCCTCCCACCGATGGCGAACCCATCCGAGTAAAAGCACAGGTAATTTTTTTTTTATTCCAACATGTAATCACCAGACGTGGTGACGGCACACTCAAGTTTTTTCAACTTATATTAATGCCGCCACCAACACAGGGGACAATACAATACTCATTTTCGCCTGAGCGAAGTGAGGAAAGTCGTGTAAAGTGCCTTTCCCAAGGGCACAAGATTGTAAGGTAAGATTCAGGGTTTTACAGCCAATGTCCTATTGTGCCTATTACTAATTGTAATGACTAATTGTAATTTGTGGAGTCGTGTGGTGTAGCGGCAGAGTGCGCGACTCGGAACTAAGAGTCCCCGGGTTCGAGTCCTGACATGCCACCGATCTTGTGCCCTTGGGTAAGGCACTTTACACGACTTTCCTCACTTAGCTCCGGTGTAAATGGGTATTGTCCTGTCATGTATTTGTCCCCTGTGTTGGTGGCGGCATTTATATAAGTTGAAGAAACTTGAGTGTATCGTCACCACGTCTGGTGATTACATGTTGGAATAAATTTAATTGAAATGACCGCGTTAAAAAAGTGGCGAGCAGGCTGATTTGGGCATTCAATGAATAAGCAAGGGTTAAAACCAGTCTTTTTTTTCAGTACTGGTACTTATTATTCTTATTAATATGTTATATATTATCTATAACTTTTCGATCATTATTTTATTGCTGAATTATTAATTTTGTATTCATATATAATTATGTATATGAAAAACAATTTTTAGATATATTCAAACATCTAATCACAAGACGTGGTGACGGCACAGAGTTTTTTCAACTTATATTTATGCCGCCACCAACACAGGGGACAAATACATGACAGGACAATACTCATTTTCACCTGAGCGAAGTAAGGAAAGTCGTGTAAATTTCCTTTCCCAAGGGCACAAGATCGGTGGCATGTCAGGACTCGAACCAGGGACCTCTTGGTTCCGAGTCGAGCACTCTGACGCTGCGCCACGACTACAAACAGGGGGAATCGAACAAGACTCGTTGCTTCTAATCCACCCCCGACACATTTTTTTTAATTTTTAATTTTTACTCGCTTTATTTTTCTTTTAACATATTGAGGAAAAAAACAAAATAAAGAATATGTTTTCATATATATTTTAATTCTTTATTCTTTATTTATTTACAATATTATTATTGTACAGGTGAGTGCCGTCTCCCTGAACTACTCGTCCTCCCAGCCCACCGCCCTGCGGATCTTCGCCTCCGTCCGGCGGGGTTACCTGCCTGTCACCGGGGCTGTCGTCAAGGTCCACATCGCGAAGCCACCCGATGGTCGGGTAGAGGAGCTCTTACTCCTAGATAACGGTGCAGGTAACAATACAAATTTCTGTCTTAAAGGCATCCAATGCAGTTTTTAGGGTCTGGAAACCCGATTTTTCAAAGTCTGCCGGGTGTCCTAGAATGTTGCAATCTTTCATTCATTCCATCCATCTACTTGGAGACATGTTGATTGTTAGGCCATGTTGATTTGATTATATGGATGACATCCTCTGGGAACCCCAAAACTGATGCGAGCGTGAGAATAAAAAAAGTTTGGCCAAATTAAAAACAAGTTGCTTTCATTATGAAATCTACGTGGTTTTGAAGGTTGAACAAATGACACAGAGTATGGTTTGGCGAATAACCTAGTCTTTCAATCTATTTCTCTACATTTTTATGTTTCTCGTTTCATTTTGGCATTTTATCGTTTTCCGATATTTTTTGTTTAACTTACGGTAAATATTTGCTCATTTTGCAACTGTTTTGTACGATTTACAGTATGGTTCAAAACTTCTTTTTTTTTTCGAAACGGTCGAAAATTCATGCGCGCGTGGATGTCATCCATATAATCAAATCAACATGGCCTTACCTCCACGACAAGGTGCCGACGTGACGAAGAATGACGGGATCTACTCCCGGTACTTCCTGGGTTTCTCTGCGGACGGCCGGTACGGTGTCTCCGTCACGGTGGATAACAGTCAGGGGGACGCCGCCGGGTACACCGTCATCCAGCGGCGGGCCGGGAGTGGCGCTATGCCGATGGACCCAGGTGAGTGGCGCGGTCAAATTTGTCGTAGGACGTCGCGCGCGATTTTGATGCCGTGCAATTCCTTAGCAAGCAGGGACAGAACCAACCTTTCGCAAGCATCTAGAATGATCCTTGTAGCACTAGGAAAGTTAAATCTAGCAGAAAGATGCTTGACTGTTAAAAAAACGCCTCAAGTTTAGGATCGTACCATGCAGGTAGTGATGACTTTTTCTTACAAGTCCTAACTGCGAAACCACAGTGACTTGCAAGAACTTATTTTTTTGTTATCTGTGAAGCAAAATGTATTGTACCGAATGACAATCTTATAACAAAACACTGTACTAAAATAATGTGCTGTATTGAGCATTTTTTGTTTCACTTTTGTGGGATAACTTAAATAGATGCTGGCGGAAGCAGCGTTCAGCAAGAGCCACTGCAGCAGTTCCAACGAATGACGACAGGTGGCGTTTTTGAGGTACAGGGGGTGCCCAGTGGTGGTGTCCCCACAGTAGACGTCCTGCCGCCGTCCAGAGTTACCGACCTCGCGGTGGTGGATGTTTCACACGCTGACGCAACCGTCACGCTTAGATGGACAGCTTCAGGTGACGACTTCGATCAGGGAGGTCCAGGTATGCATGTGTTTAAAACTCAAAATTTTTGCTGTTTAACTCAACGTTTAAAGGCATTCAGTGCAGTTTTTTTATGGCCTGGAAACCAGATTTTTTAAAAAGTCAATATTCTAGTCACTTATCGACATAATAAGTTGAAACAACACAGTCCCAAGGTATATCGACATTCATGGAGAAAAAATGCCGAAAATTATGACAAAAAAGAACGGTTACTGGGGTACCACCAAGAAAATAAAGGACTTATGTCAGAGCTTGTTTCTGCGTTTTAAATGCCTTAAATATGAAATACTGATTCAAATGTGCTAATGTGGTATAGTATGTCTTAATATTATACAGATTGCCATTTTCAGAATATTTCCAGTTTTGCCACCCTGATATTACACTGGGTGCCTTTAAAATAGCAAGACAGCGTCAATGCTTTACTCTTACACTATTGTGTTCTGCATCTGTATTCGTGGAACCATCCTAAAGCTGCATTTAGTTTTTCATCTTCTTCTATTGTGTCTCGTAGCTCAGGAGCTCTCTTAGCTCTCACATCAGAGTTTCGTTTCTGTCATCGTCGTTTCTTTTCTGCTATTGCTTTCGACTTCTTTAGTACAAAAACAGACTAATTCAAGATTTATTAGTTTTGTTTTCCTATATGATCCACAAGGACATCCTCTTAATGCAGTTTTGATGTTGTAAGATTTTAGTAGCTATAGGTAATGGCAGAACCGAATATGGACAAGGACGTAATACGACAACATTTCCCTGCGACCCATTTACGACTTCTCAAGAATGCCCTAAATTGTGATCACATAATGATTGTAGCAAAGAATAAATAAAGGATCATAGTTGAATCAATTGAAAGTATTATATAAGATATCTTTTATATTCTGATGTTTTCCAGCAAACTTTGTTGAACTTCGTTACGGCCGCCATTTTGACCAGCTCGCAGACGACTTTCTCGGATCACCTCTAGTCGACCAATCACAAGTGCTGCAGGGTAATCTGACGTCACCACCGCCCCCTGGTCACGTGCAGACCGTCAACATCCGGGTTCCAGAGCGGGGCCACAACGTCACCTTCGCCTTCTCACTGCGCATGTGCGACGATCAGGACAACTGCAGCCCGCCATCCAACATCGTGACGTCAAACCTCGAGCACATCGCCCAACCAATCAAAGCCAACAACACGGTCACGTGGGTTATCATTGGCTGCGTGGTCGGCGTGGCTGTTTTGGCCGCCATCTTGATTCTGTTGTACTTCACAGTCTGTCGGGCGAAGAAACAGATCAAACCTGCGGACTCTATCCACCCGGCTCCGACCAATGGCAACACTTCATATGCCCGTACTGTATAGTTCAGATGCTGGTTGTTGCGTTTTACTGATTGCTAGAATTTCTGATTCTTTAAAATGTATATGCCCCTTTAGAAAAAGTGCTACACAGCATTTTTGTTTAATATCGAACAAAGCTTGATCGTAAGGAGTTCACATTCAGACTTTTGCCTTACATATACACAGAGAGAGAGAGAGATAAAGAAATAGAGAAAGAGAGAGATGGAGAAACACCCCCCCCACACACACACACACAAATCCAATTACAAAAGCACACACAGGCACATACGCACAGCTGCAGGCGCACAAACACACACATAAGCACACACAATGACATAAACAGACACAAGCACGCAAAGACACATACACACAACTACATACTTAAACACACACACAAGCACACAAGCACACACACACCGGCAAACACACACACACACACACTAACACACACACAAGCACATATAATCACACTTGGGCACACACGTACACGGGCACGCACAGGCAAACACACACACACACACATAGGCACACACACACGCACCGATGCAAAATGACTTACAAGGCATTCCAGTCAAAACAAAGGGTTTTGATTGATTGATCGATCGATCGATTGATTGATCGATTGATTGATCGATTGATCGATTGATTGGTCGATTGATTGATTGATTGATCGATTGATTGATTGATTTAAACAAGACATTAAAGACTTCGTATCTCTAATCAGATTTAGAGTTTTTACTCTATCCATTATTACTCACTGGTTACGTCTAATAAAATAGATGCACTTTTTACGATGGCTCACAAAAGGCATCATCATTGGCCTCCTTCTACATTCTTTAAGGCAACAGGCATACATATACATGTAGCAGTAAATCCAGGAATGTAGCAGTAAATACAGTAATAACTGTACTAGTACGTCGTTAGTATTAAGTACTGGTAAGTCGTATTTATACCTAGCGCCATGCTGACTATATTTTAGACATCAAAAGTCCCATGATCAGAACTGTCTGCCAATGTCCACTCGAACGCACACTCATGTCCGACGGTAAGAAGATTGACCCTTCGCACATTAATGCGATGCCGGAAGGGCTAGACGGTGTTAAGCTTCCTCACGAAGTTTCGCATCTTCATCCCACTGGAGTATATTTTGACCCCCAACCTGTTGATACAATCTTGATTGTCTTCTTAACGCTTAGTTGACAGTTGTCGTTTGGTTAAGGTACTGGCTGTTATAGGTTTCATCTCTCCATGACAAAGGTCGTTGCTTTTATAGCAAAGGTCGTTGCTTTTAAAGCATCCAATGTAATTTCAGGGAAGGAAAACAATATTTTTTTAAAATCAGTTTACTGAACTTTCTGTAGTAATTTGAATCGATCCGATACCTTATCTCTTGGTAAACTGTCTAGCACTGGGGATCTCCCAAGGCCAGTAGGTGTTAATTTGTGAAGGCGCTCCACTTCGCGATGTTTCATGGCAGGCACTAGGAGACGCCCTATTTGGTGGGGCTAGGGGACTTCCAATCTCCCAAGGCCAGTAGGTGTTAATTTGTGAAGGCGCTTCACTCGACTGTGTCTCACGGCAGGCACTAGTAGACGCCCTCTTTGGTGGTGCTAGGGGTCTACCAAATGTGATCTCCCAAGGCCAGTACGTGTTAATTTGTGAAGGCGCTTCACTCGACTGTGTCTCACGGCAGGCACTAGTAGACGCCCTCTTTGGTGGGGCTAGGGGACTACCAATCTCCCACGGCCAGTAGGTGTTAATTTGTGAAGGCGCTTTACTGGACTGTGTCTCACGGCATGCACTAAGAGACGCCCTCTTTTGTGGGGCTAGGGGACTACCAATCTCCCACGGCCAGTAGGTGTTTGGTACGGTGGAGATTTCAGGCTCTGAACACAATGTGTTCAATTGTGTATTATGAGGAATTGCCGACGGCTTATATGTGTTTGTTAGAATCTCTTCATTTTGTGATGTCCCATTGATACGGCGTAAGGAAGGAAGAGACAATCGCATGCTTTGGCCCCGTAACGGCCAGGAGTTTCGCAGTTCCCCAGATCGGACGTAGGTGGTTTGAGATGTAGTGAAGGGAGTTTGCCTTGGTGTGTTCTCGCAATGAGGTCCCATTTTCGAGTTAGGTACTTCGGTAAGGGAGGCTGGTCGCATCGTGTTAACCTTGTGGCCCTCGGCGATTTGCAATGGCCAGGAGGTTGGTCGCGCAATCGGGGTCTTCTGTACTGGAATGTTCGGATGGACTTTTCCATGCATGCGTCGACTTAGAATTACAACGTAATGGTTTCGCGTTAGTGTCCCGGTTGTGTGGGACATCAAGTGCCTTTCCGTGTAACGTTACGCCGCGGGACTTGGATCTTCCATACACAGCTGTATGTCGCCTAGATGTCTGCTGGAGACGGCGTGAACTTCTGCCCAGGCTGCCGTGTTCACGGGACTTCTCTACCGCCTTTCCGTAGAACGTCACACGATGGGATTCCGATCTACCATACCGTGTTTTACGTAGGCTGAGATGGCGAGAACGTTTGGAATGTTTGCCTTGATAGATACTGCGGTTCTCTTCCTGTCCCATAACTGTAGGAAGCGTCAAATCAACTGCAATGCCATAAAATGGTAACGGGGCATCGTCGTTATCACTATCTGGAATGTTGTAATACGTCGGTTCGGTGGAGATTAGGGCAGCAGGCAGTGACTGACAGGAGACTGTGTCTTCTCGTTCTTCCCTCCGTGTGAGTGTTATAGCGTGGAGCTCCGTGAGGGAGGCTGAACTGGTCACACCAGACATGCCGCCATCTTGGATTTCCCAGTAGGTGTGATGGGCATGGACAGTGTCGTCTGGAATCTCAGAGTAGTTTGGTTCGATTGAGCTTAGGGTTGTAGGGAGCGATCTGCAAGATACTAGCTGGCGGTGGGGAACGACGCTGTGTGGTTGAGAAATGGTCGGGAGGGAAGCAGACCTCGCCCGCCCAGATTTCGCCTGCGTTACGATGCGAACTCGGTCATTCTTCTTGCCCAAAGTTAACAATCTCTTCAGCATTACCACGATGGATACTATCACTAGACCTGATACAGGCACTGTCAGAATGACAGCATAGATGGTAATGTCATCTGGGGCAGGTCTGTTTAAGATGGTACTGACTTGCGTAGCAGATGCTGCTGACGTAGTAGTTTGATGTTGTGACTTCAAAACTATCTGAGTCTGATTCTTCAGTACAGATGTTTCGTGGAGTGACGGGCAATGATCAGAACCTGAACATGTTTTGTTGTACATGTACCTCATTTCTACTCGAGAGACGTTGAGCATCAGTCGACTAGTATTTCCATTGGCGAGTACAAAGCAAGTTATATTTGTAACGTTTGTTTTGATGAACGTCTTCAGATTTCCTTCAGTGTCTGAGCTATTCGTACTTGTATTCTGTGTCGTCCGATCCAGCGTTAAGGCAAACGCTCTGATAGTCGCGTTTCGTTCTGATGATGTGGTGAGGCGTAGGCGTAAACCAGCCTGTAAAGCCACAGTCAAGCCACCATTATGTTCCCATCCCTGTCTACACTGGGCAGAGTCATCAGGATGGGTGTGTTGGTCGGCAGGTCCAGTCTTCAACAAGACAACAGAATCTGCTTGGTTCTTGATCTTTGTTAAGAGGAAGTCTGGCAAACCGCACGAAGTGTTTTCTATTGTAACACTCCTGGGGTCATGATATGTAGATAGATTATACGCCCACCCAAATGTCTGTTTGTTGTTGGAAGGGTCGTGTGTAATACAGAGGAAGTAGTCGGAGATCGTGAGTGACACATCTTGTCGTCTGATGTGATGAGGGTCGCGTTCGTCCATGTGATTGTGGAGAGAAAGGCTCCACGCCACATCACGCACGACCGTGTCACGAACCCTTCCCAACCTTTTGCCAACAACACGAAGCAGGGAAGGGGCATACCTTAGCCCCCAGAACGTCTCCCCATCCAGAAATGTAATGTTCCCGCCTAGAGTCAAGTCACGGAGCTCATGCAGGTACTGGAATGCACCCTGAGGAATGTTGTTTAATTCCAAGCGGAGCTCCGCCAGATTCTGGAGCCCAGAGAACGAGACAGGGTCTACAGTCTGTATCTGGTTATTCTGTAGATTTAAGACTCTAAGCAAACCTAAGTCCATAAAAGACCCTGCATCCACTCTCACTATCTTGTTATTAGACAGACTCAGTGCGTTGAGACCTTCCAAACCAGAGAACCAATTCTGCCTGATATGAGTGAGTTTGTTAAAGTCTAGGGCCAGCGTATGAAGGTTAGACAATCTGGCGAGGACGTTGTCTTCAATATCGGTGATGTCACATTTCACCAGGGCCAGAATCCCATTGCAAATGCCGTCGGTTGTTTTTGCCGATAGAATTCCTAGTGGATACCCCGTTACTGCAACCGCGGCAGCATACTTTTTGATACAAGGTATTAGCTTGGGTGCAGCTACTACTGTCTCATTATTATCACCCTTGCACACAGTCCATGCGCGGAAGGTTATCAGCTTTGTCAAAGGCCAGTAAAGATTGAATCTGATTTGCTCAACTAAAGGCAAAGGCTGACTTGCTTTTTTACACTGTGGGGGACAGTAGTAGTCAATAGTCGACGTCATACAACGTGACACCCCTCTCCGTGCCGTGCACACAGACATTAAAACCAGCACAAGTAACAGGACACTGCTTCGTTTTCGAGACACACTTTCTGGACAGGACGCCATTTGATGCAATTGTTACTTTCTATCACATTCAAAAGGCAAAGTTTTTAAACTGCATGCGCCTGATGTTCTGCCGAAAGATCACACTGAAAGTAAAAGATTAAAAAGTGATGAGCTCGATCCAGTTTTAGCTCAATGAAGAGCTAATCTCCCACTGGTCTTGACAGGGAAGAGAGACGCGATGTATAGTATTTACAGGTTCACTGTACAAGGGAAATTCCCCTAGCTCTTTTTGACAAGAACAACGAACAATGGACCATAGCTTAACATCCCATCCTTGGGACTGCCACCCTTTCCAGTAGTGTGCATGTCAGGTGAGCTACAACAACCGGGATTCGAACCTCCAACCTCTTAGTCCAGAGGCAGGTTTGCTAACCACTGGAATACGCATGCAACTGGAGTGTAGAGATACGGTAGTTTCTTTACCACTATCATCGTTATCTTATTTGCGGACAAAAAAGTTTTCAATTTTTTTTATTGTCCAAGAATTTTCTAGCACAATAAAAATGAAAATTTACTACACCTACCTTTTTATGTTACATGTTGCTTCTCTCATTTACGGCTGAATGTCGCCGCTAGTTTGCTGATCTTCTTGCTCTAATAGGTCACACTGATCTCTCTGAAGAAAATCGTTGCCTTTCATAACCACTTCTCATCCCGCTGGCTGGTTCCTCTACCTCTTTTATACATCTCGGTGTTAACATTCTAATCGGGAGACCGACTCCTCTGATTGGTTAGAGCCATTTGCCAAACGGGCACAAAACTGCTTCATTTTTTTCTAGGATTTTGCAGACACATTAATTACTCGTAAATGAAAAGTGTAGACTGATAAGACATAATGTTTCTAAGATTCAATTGGAACAAAAGTGTTTTGACGAAAAGAAAAATGAAATCAGATATGGAACTAGGCTACCCGACAGACTACAAACGATGCTTTGAAATCAGTCTACTCGAGCTTGGGGTCTTTTTTTCCATTATTCATGGATTTTGCAGACGCATTGAAACTATTTAAGGCTTTGAGGTGATTTAATGAAAAAAGCTGTGTAGACAAATCAAATCAGATATGTAACTAGGCGACCATATCAACTTCAAACGATGCTTTTAGATTGAATCTTTTTTTTTAATTTTCTACTATTTGAGCAAACAGATTGTCTAGGGCCTCGAGAAGACAAATCAATTGCAAAACATCGTCTATAGTTGGTTTGGTGAATTGGTTCAATTTCTAATCTTATTTGTCTACACAACTTTTTCTTCAAAACACGTTTGTTCTGTATTAAATATGTCATGACATGGAACAAAGTGGGTATAAGACATAGGGATATCAAATATACATGTAGCAGGTTGAAATTGATTTTAATCATGTTGACTTAGGAACTAAGTCTGTACGGCCTTCAAAAAGTTCATTTTTGAGACGCTACGGCAAACTTCCCAATCATCTGCCTTTGCATTTTTTTTAAATCTCTAGATTCTAATTCTGCATTTCTGTGCTTTTTCCGGAGATGACCTCACCCCAAAAAACCAGCCCAGGATCCTACCAGTGACCATTTTCCGTCTCAAAATTTTTTGTTGTTGCATTTTTGCACTTCTAGTTCTTGGAAAAAATGTGTCGACATACACGGTGTTGTTTCAACATAGTGCATGTATGTAGATAAGTGACTAAAATACATGTATTGACTTCGAAAAATCTGGTCTTTAAAACAGAATGTGACAAAATTATAACAACAAAATTTACAAAGGCATTTCATAGTTTATGAAGATATCATACCTCCGACTTCGTCTTATTTCTAGTTCTGGTACCCATTCTTGTGATGTTGAATACGTCGGTTATCTCAAACAACAGGGATATCTGAACTGGACCTGCATCGTATCGCATTCAAAATCTGGGGGTACGGAGAATATTGAAACTGTAATTACATGTCTAGACAAATTATCATAAATTTATTGTGCCTTGAGTCGACAATTTAATTCAAAAGCTCCATGTAAAGTTAGTTTGATGCCCTAGTAACAAATCGTGTGTACAAAAAATCAACGTTTTATCAACACTGTTGTTGCCATACATTTTACAAACAAGTTGTGTTAGGCCACAACAAGTAAATTTTATGGATGACGTCCGCGCGCGCATTGATTTTGGCTTGTTCCTAGAAAAAAAACAAGAAATTCCGCTTCCTGTAACTATGACCAAAGAGTGACGACAGAACTAGTGCCGCAATTTTATGCTTTGTTTTTGCAGGTCTGCAAAAATTTTATGAAAGAAACAAGACAGGTCGACAACTGCTGTTCCACCTGATTTATTGCTGTTTTGATGATGAATAAAAGACTTCTTGCTTGTTACACTGTGTCACCTCATTCAATTTGTGTCCTGACATTTGTCGTCTCTTAGTATATTTCTAATCTAGGCATCTTGTTTTTTAGGGCCCTTCTTGTTTTTTTTGTTTTTTTTTTCGTCTTCTCGCATTAGATTTAGGGTCTCCAAAGGACGTCATCCATAAAATTTACTTGGTGTGACCTTATAAGACTAATTGTGTAATCTTGCTCCAAACTTACCATCAAACTAGAGTTCCACGATATCATACCTTCGCCAATACGACACCAAAAAAATGGAGTGAATAGAATTAAGAGATTCAGGTCGTCAAATAATGGGCCAAAATTTTCCTCCTTACAACAAAACAGTCTGTCACTAATCAAATAGACAAAAAAACTCACTACCAATATGACCACCAATGGGGACAAAAATTACACAACAGTGAATTTAAAAACAGATTGAGATTCTACTCATTTGATAATGTTAGAATTGGAAATAAAGAAGTTGCAAGGAATGGTGCCATTGTTAATAATTTATTTCCTCAATTTCACAGAAGCATAAATACATCATGATATCACATGTAATATTTACATAGGCATAACGATGTGGAATGTATAGTAGATACGAAAACATTTCGTCGCGTATACAACAGCATAGCACCGTATGGATATGGGTTAATGCACACACAACACGTCATATATAGTGTAAATACTTAACTTTAAGTATAGACTTAAAGATTTTATCTTGCACTGTCCGCTGCAGGCACACATACTTAGTAAGTACCTTTTGTACACAATAAATACCATAAATAAATGTATAGAGAACCTAAAAAAAACTACAATTGGTGGTTATTTTTGACGACTAGATCACATTTGGTCTAGGCCGTAGTATAATTTTGATGCCTTAGAATTTTTAAGCAGGCCTTGATAGAAAAAAAATGACGACAAGGATTCAATACAGCCTCTGTAATTACTATAAATTTGCAGGGCACTGGCACTTAATTCCTAAGAATGCAAATATTTTGCTTTCGTACATCGACCGTACGATGCTTGTGACTAGGCTACATTCGTTACATGCACATATTTGTATAAAAACTAAACCTACGGCAAGTCGATATTGTTTGAGATACCCAGACACTTTATAACGTTTCCAAAGGTATATTATATACAATTGGCGTTACTTTCTTAATGTTGTCTTCTTTTGTCGTAATTTTATCAGTGGAATCATAGTGCAAAAATCATGCAAATTATCAAGATACAATATATATTATACAAATGGCTAAGGTTATAGTTCTTTGTTCCAAATTTGCTGGAAAGATAATATTCATTACCATATCTTCTTTCTCGGTGGACTCGAGAATTTACATATTTGATTATATTCATAGTTATCTCCCGAATTTTTCAACATAATATTTCTCTTGATAACAAGTCATTTATTGCATGTTCATTTATTTCATACAGGCGACCTATATTTGATAAAAGTTTAATCACTTTGTATTAGACATGATTCCTGTCCTTTTCTCCCTATATTTAGAAGATTTTCTATCATGATCATGACTTTTATCAGAAATCGAATAAAGACATTTGTTCAATAAACATCAATTTCAATTTTCAGGAGTTTGGACGTAATGTCACAGGCGCCATTTTGGTTGGTTACACTTTCAGCACCTAAACGAATAGTCACGCACATTTGCATATTCATCATGTCACGTGACCAAATCTACATATGCAAATTCAAACATACCTTCGCATGTTGGTTCAACCATCCAAAATGGCGGACAATGTGTCACGTGATAGTCACGTGAGTGCAAACTCCCTAAAAGCCTCGCTATGGACGCCTGAAATCGTCGCCATGGAAACTTAGTCTACTCCGCATGCGTGTTTTTCGCCGCCGCTGCGTCCTTGAGTTGGCGCTGGCGGCCATGACGGTGTCCGGCGGGCTGGTTGTTGTTGGAACTCTGCTGCACGAATGACAACAGGCCCTCTTGTAGTACCAATGGCCGCACAGGTTCACTCGCAACACCAGTTCGCAATTGGCTGCTGAGTTATCAGTGCAGTTGTCGTTGACTGTGAAGGTAAATACGTGTGAAAAGCACGGTTGATGTGTACAAATGCATTAAGGACATAACACAAATAATCAAAATGCATCTGGATACCAGGTAAGGCCGAATTCTACTACTCATTCAGCCTGCAAAAGAGTTTGGTGGAGACTAAATGTATGCGTCGATCTTTTTGTTTGCTTTTCTGTTTGTTTGTTTGTTTGTTTGTTTGCTTGTTTGTTTGTTTGTTTGTCGTACCTTCATCTTCACTCCTGGGACAGGGCGTGTTCATACAGGACATTTTGATGACGGGCATGGTGTCGGGGTCACATGACGTGGAGGTCTGGTCTCCATGGTAACACACCACCTCCCGTCCCCGTACTCCTGCTCCACACGTGGTGCTGCACTGAAGGGGGGAGCAAAAAATTTATAACTAGAAAGGTAACATTTGCAAAGGAAATACGTAATGTTTACCTTCACATATGCTCTGATCTGTTACTAATTCTTCCTTAACCCTAAACAGTACACCTGGGGTCCGCGCGGACCCCAGCACTATAAATTCTGTAATATCTTTTTGTTTCTAAAGATTTTTTTCTGAAATTTTAGGTAATTGTCACACACAAAGTTGTCTCTCAATACAGTGCAGAAAACCCCGTTTCTACCATTTATAAAAAAAATTATCTGATTTTCTTTTGGGATCCGCGTGGACCCCAGCCGGCTTTCGATCATAATGGATACACTGGCGTTCTTACACATTATCTTATTTCCGTTTTTATATGTTTTTATGCCCTCATCGCATGTCTACCAAGTTTTCAGAGAATGGTGTAGTAATAGAATTAAATTTTAATAACTTTGGTGTAATTATGACGTCAGAGCTAATGATATAGTCCGCCATATTGGATTTTGACCAATGGCGTCATCAAATTAGCATATTCTATGCATATTAAATGATTTAACATATTTAATTATGTAAGATGTTATTAATGTTGGAAAAGAAGTGTAATTTAATATAAAACTCAGAAAATTTTTATGTTTAAACCAAATTACTTCTATTTTCAAAAAACATCAACTTACTAGTATTAAACTAATATGAACTTTTTTCCAGAGACATTTTAGGGAAGGTCTCCAAATTTGATACTTCTAGCGCAAGCCGTTTAGCCGCTATCTGAGATCAAAGTTGGACCTCAAAAGTCCCTTCAGTCTGAAATGGGTTTAAAAATCGGGTATTTCTTCTTGTCTTCTTTTCTTCACCAAAAAATAGAAAAAGTTTAAAATGTATGATTTTTGTATGTAATGTGGACAGAGAGGTTCCCACATCAGTTTGCAAAACAATTGAGCTGGTAGTATGTTGATAATTTCTAAAAAATTAGCAAAAAACTGTTCTGGGGTCCGCGCGGACCCCAGGTGTACAGATTAATCAGTCCGGGAAGGTGTTCTGTTGAGGGTTAAACACATCCATATAATTATATGTTGACAGCAGTCTTAATCCCTCCTGCTATAAAACTGCAACATGATGTAACCTTACGCTACTTACCATTTTTAGATTCGCCCACTAAGTATCTAATACCAGCCCAGAAAAGAAACAGTCATGCCTTTAAATATCAAAGTTATCAACCAAAGATTTAGGTGTTTAAAACTCGTATTTTCCAAGAACTATCGTAGAGTGGAATTCGTTGCCACCAAGTACGGTTGGGGCATCATCACTAGAAAGCTTGAAACAACCCCTGCAATTAAATGTTGAAAAATTGAATGTATCAACTCGTTCTGTGTGATATAGCTAGATGCTGCCGCGCCGCGTGCCTGTAAAGCTGGTGTGTTAAGTAAAAGGCTGGTTATAATGGCTATACCGATACATATACACTAGAACTGTTGGATGATTTTGACCTGTGGCATTAAGGCCATGTTGTTTTGATTATATGGATGACATCCGCGCGCATGAATTTTGGCCGTTTCTAAAAAAAGGTTTTCAACAATACTGTAAATCGCGTAAAACAGTTGCAAAATGAACAAATATATGCCGTAAGTTGCAAAAAAAATATTTAAAAACGATACCTATGTCGTAGAATGCCAAAATCAAAGCAAAAAAGACGAAAATGTAAAGAGATGAATTGGAAGACAACATTATTCGCGAAACCATACTCTGTGTCATTTGTTCAACCTTTATGACCGCGTAGATTTCATAATAAATGCATATTTTTTGCAAAACCTTTTTTATTCGCAAGCACGAATTAGTGTTGGGGCTCCCAAAGGATGTCATCCATATAATGAAATCAACATGGCCTAATTTAACCCTAAACAGTACACCTGGGGTCCGCGCGGACCCCAGCATTATATATTCTGTAATATCTTTTTTGTTTCTAAAGATTTTTTTCTGAAATTTTAGGTGATTGTCACCCACAAAGTTGTCTCTCAATACAGTGCAGAAAACTCCGTTTCTACCATTTATAAAAAAATCATATCTGATTTTCTTTTGGGGTCCGCGCGGACCCCAGCCGGCTTTCAATCATAATAGATACACTGGCGTTCTTATACATTACCTTATTTCCGTTTTTATATGTTTTTATGCACTTATCGTATGTCTACCATGTTTTCAGAGAATGGTGTAATAATTGAATCAATTTTTTATAACTTTGGTGTAGTTATGACGTCATATGACGTCAGAGCTAATAATATAGTCCGCCATATTGGATTTTGACCAATGACGTCATCAAATTAGCATATTCAATTGAGCTGGTAGCATGTTGATAATTTCTGAAAAATTAGCAAAAAAACTGTTCTGGGGTCCGCGCGGACCCCAGGTATACAGATTAATCAGTCCGGGAAGGTGTTCTGTTGAGGGTTAATGTATAAAACATGTCTTACCGGGCCCCAGGGAGAAGCGAACCATGTTGCCGGACAGTCCATCTCGTTACAGATTTGAGTCTCAACTGGTTTGTAGTCCAGGTTACAGATCTCACCACGGAACTCCCGGAAATGACGGTTAATCACGCCTCCACAGATAACCTTCCGCCGCTGCTGCCCAGGTCCACACGTTGTCGAGCACTGAAATGCAAAATATGCAAAAAAAAATTAGACACAATTAAGATCATTAATAAAAAAAATACAAAACAAAACAGTGTGCGGTAGGAGGAAAGAAGTCTGTAAGGCTTGTACAGTGTCCTCTTCCTTAAAACTTACTAAATATTAATCATGAGGCTAACAAATAATAACTAATGATAAATAGACTAAGGAAAACTTGGATGTAAATAATAACAAAACAAACACCAAATATTAATCATGAAGCCAACAAAATAACAGCTAATGATAAATAAACTCACGAAAATCTATACATAACCAAACAATTATCAGATTTGTTTATAAGCTACGGCAAAGCCATGGAAATAATGTATATTAGAACAAATACAACTGAAACTTTACACAACGGGAATGAAAGAAATAACGAGCAAATAAAGTGCAAATTATATGTCACATTTGTTGGTTGTTTAGTAGGAAATGTTTATCATGTTCTTAAATGTATATATTATAATATTAAGTACACTATTAGAAGACAGACACTATGTAGAAGTTGTACTTTTCATTGACCTATGAGACCTTGGAATACCTACTACCACACAGACACGTACGTAACTAGAATAAATATCACAACCAGTCAGAGCAAAATATACGTACCGGCGTTTGGTAATCATAAGTGAACTCTAAAATAGATCAGGAAAGACTTACCGGTTGCCAGGCTTGTGGCAGCCATCTTGGACCACAGTGTGTTTGGTCTCCACAGTTGATGACATCTAGCGGCCGGGCGGTGGCATTGCAGGCCCTATCCTCCTGAGTCTCTCCATCACGTGACTGACACGTGACTTCCCGTGTACTGACGCCAGTTCCACATCTACCTGTGCACTAGAATTATACCGTCTGGTCATTAAACTGTCCTAGATTTTGTAACTTTCAAACACTATACGAGTACACATAATGCAAACGGTTACAAGTCAGACAAAAAAAGGCGTTAACAAATCACAGGCCTTTGGTGAAAAATATCTTTCTACGTAATGCTGAGGTCACATTTCCAAACCGGGGCCCGGCCGGGCAGTCTTATGGAACGAAAAGTACGATATAAAGGACAACAAAGCACAATAAAGTTGAAAAAAATTTATAATTGGAACTATATTTGCGTAATATTGATATAGATTTTAATTTTTCATTAATCAAAACAAGCCCGGCCGGGCCCCGGTTTGAAAATGTGACCTCAGCATAACATATACTAATTTCTCGGTCACATTTCCAAACCGGGGCCCGGCCGGGCTGTTTGTATGAACGAAACTAACATTCATATCAAGAAAATACATAAATATTCCCATGATTATCATCAAAAACTTTTCTGTGTTTTGTTGTCTTTTATATGGTCCTATAAGACTGCCCGACCGTGCCCCGGTTTGGAAATGTGACCTCAGCATAAGGTATTGGTCATTTTGAAGCCCAGGCTCAGTATGCAGGGCTCTAATTTATTTTTGGGAATAGGTGCACTGATGTACCCAACCTAAGAAAACTGGGTGCACAGAAAAGTTTTTGAGTGCACCATATAAAATAAAATAACTATGTCAGCAATAACTAATTATGTTTCATTTGTAAGAAAACTATTTTTTTATTATTTCTCTGACACATGGATGTTAAGAATATGCTCTATACTACAATACATTTAACATCTTTAGTATGTAAAACTATGAAAATATTTGGGTGCGCTGGTGCACCCACAGAAAAAAAATTGGGTGCACAGCTCAAAATTTTGGTGCACTAAGGTGCACATGCACCCAGTATTTCGAGCCTTGGTATGACAACATTAACAACAGCATGTTCCGAACCTGTCCCCAGGAGGTCTCCCGCCAGGACGTCTCCAGACACGGGCCGTTGTCGCACACCCTCTCGGTCAGCGGCTTACGGACAGGATCACACGGGTCCGTCTCCGTGTAGCACCGGGCTTCTCTTGTCATCGTCCCGGGGCCGCACTGCGCAGAGCACTGGCAGGTCAACAGAAAAAAAAATATTATGACGGGTAGCGTATCATTTAAAAGCAAAATTTGAATACAGGAGAAAAGAGAGATAAAAGAGATACAACACAACAATACAATAAATGCACAACAATAAAAAAGGGGGAAAAGAGAAGAAAGAACTAGAAAGGCCAATATTTGCTTTGGAGCAAATATAGCGATGGGTTCACCACATTTTACCACATGGCAGGGAAAGAATGAGAAACACAAGGGAAAACAATGCTTTACATTGATATAACTATAGTATGAAGTAACATACAACTAAGACTACAACAGTTGGATAGCTATTCCCTACATTATTGGTTAGGATTGCATAATGCAAACTGTTGATTTTCAAGATAAAAAGAAGCGTTCATAGCCCGCATTCCAATGCTGGAGCAGGAAAGCTTAAAATACCTACCAAAACACTTGAATACAGACATACTGTCAGTATGGCATGGCTCTGTGCAGGTGTAAATGAAGTTAAGCCAGTTAAATCCCAACAGCCAATCAGCAAGGAGAATAGAGGAAAGCTGCATGCCTATTGGTTGATGCCTTGCATGCCATTGTGATGACTCATGTCCAAATGTGGTAAACACTGCACACTTACACAGTAATACATTAGCTATTACACAGCCAAAAAACTCAAATAAAACCATTCTAAAAGCCTGTATCACAATAATTTAAAAAACGCCTAGGGGTATTTGCCCACTGTACCTCCATACCAAATTTCAGGACCTTAGGCCCTAAAATGAAGAAGCTGAATCCATTTAAAGATATGGCAGGAGGAGGAGAAGGAGGAGGAGAAGGAGAAGAAACATCAGAAAAAGCAATATGGTTTCACCACACCACTTCGTGGTGTGGTGAACCCATAATAAAGTAGAACATAAGAAAGAAATAAGAAAGAAATGAAGATAGAAACTAAAGGAAACTAAACAAGAAAAAAAGGAACTATAAAGAAAGAAACAGAAAGAAAGAAAGTAAAAAGAAAAAGAGAAAGAAAAAGAAAGAAAGAAAGAAA